CACATAGAAAATTCAAGAGGAATTGTTCATTCAGTGAAGTGTTTGGTCTCTTTCCCACTCTCTCCTTGTTGGTGTCAAGTAAGTGGCGCTCTTACCAGAGTTTGTGACAAAATGTATTCCTAAAATACTTCTTTTCTCTTTGAGAAAATCAGCATCTGATGAAGGTGAAAGAAGAAAGTGAAGACTCAACTCACTGGAAACGACAGTAATGTTTAGAAAAACTGAATGCAGCGGAAAAAGAGAAAGACCAAATAAGAGATGGATTTATCAAATTTTATAAATGGTTAAAATGGTAAAGAGAGGATATAAGAAATATAATTCTGAAAATGTGAAAAGCAATCATAAAATGGAAGTTTAAACAGCAATGTACTGAACGTATCTTAGAGGTTACTTCAGAAAAAACAGCTAGTTTTTCCAGAACAGCAAAATACTTGTAAAAGTTTATTGGCTCTGCAAGGCTAGCAAAACACATTATAATCCAATGGATTAGGCAATTCTACTGGATCCTATATAGCAGGGGTCCCCAAACCCCGGTATGTGGCCTGGTGCCAGTCCGTGGGCTCCCTGGAACTGGGCCGTGGATACGGATCTCTGCCCCCCCGCTCGCCCACATGGTGGGTGTGTCGCGCTTGAGGAGGGGCATGCTGCACTTGCGGGTGGGCGTGTCACGCTTGCGCACATGCATGCGCAACACCCCTCCGCAAGCGCAACACGCTTTATCTAATGTATTTATCTAATTTCATAGAAGCAATTAGATAAATACAGTTTATAGAATTAGACAAACTGATATTGTCTGGATTCATTTTCTCCACTTGGGAAAAGTAGAATGAAAATGACTAGGACGTCTAGAAAGACCTACTTCATCATGAGCGAAACAATGGTTTATTTTTATCCTCTGAAGAGATGACACATTTAAACAATGAAACTACTTTTATCTTGATACCCAGATGAACACTAATAAGACTCAAATGGTTATCTGACCTCATACTGGAATTAACTCTTTCAGGGATAAATGTCAGTTGTGATGGACCACCATACTATCTTAGAGTGCTCTGTGCACTTTGTGTGTCATACATTTGACCTTGACACTCACTCAAACTATCTTAGAGTGCTCTGTGAACTTTGTGTGTCATACATTTGACCTTGACAGACTGACTTAGTTAATGACAAACTGACTTAAATTAATGAAGTTACAGCCACAGCCTTGGACTTGAAAGAGCTGAGCTGAGTTGTTGATGATAGGAGTTTTTGTAGGTCACTAATTCATAGGCTCCACTGGCTCGGACATCCGCTGTCAACTCCTTTGTTCTTTCTCTAAGGCAATTAGCCTTCCTTTGTTCCGTGATCACCCACACCCTAGGACAACACAGACAATGACACTTTTCATCCTTCCTATGAGGAAGAACTCGAAGTTAGGAAGAGCTTGGGCCACTTCTGGAAGCCAGCCTGTGAACTCCTAGCATACCTGTAGTTACAGCAATTGAGGTTTGCCAGCGAAGGCAACTGAACATAAAGTCCTGATAAATACTACAAAAGAATGTAGCACATGGAATATGGAAAAAAAGAAGGAAGTGAGGAAAGTTAGTTTTTGCTTCATATCCACCAATTGCTCTTAAATAAGGACTTAAAGTATAATTCAAAGCAAAATAGCTCAGCTACTACATTAAAGGGGAAGTACAAAGGCTTTGATCATGAGCAGAAAAGAAAGCAGTACCTAAAATACCTACATTACAGTAAAAAACACTTTGTGCACATTGAAATAACAAGGCAACTGAGAAGCAATTCCCACCTGGCTCTTTTCAATTAAGGGCAAATTAAGCTCGTAATAATAGTCAAAATTATGAAATGCTGGGCAAAACTATTTTTTTCTCTTCCTACCATCTCAAATGTAATCGGGGGAGTGGGAGAAGGAAAGGAAAAAAAAATGTGCTTACTGCTTTCCACAATTCTGATTTAAAGATGGAAAATGAATGAGAATCTGAAAATAGATCTGTACAGTGCTGAAAGAAGCTACTGGGCTGCAGGAATTCAGTCCTAATGATTTATGGCTGTTCAGATGCCCTGTGTGGAAGAAAAGCAGCAAAGGCACGAAGCAGTTGGATGCTTTAGCAATAACATTTCTACACCTTTTTATAAAAAGTGTTATTAGGGGTACCACTAGAGGTTTTGGCCACAGTATGAAAGATAGATGAGAGCTGCATTACAAAAAACAGTCCAACAAGCAGAGGACAATGATGAAGAAGGAGGGGAGCCACAAAATGATGCCAAATTATACAAGAGACTTTAATAAAGATGTCGACTGGCTGACATGTTTCAGTGAAGACCTTCCTCAAGGACATACAACCAGACATTGTTTTGTTGCAATATTCTAGTAAGGCAACAGATCTCAATCTCCTACAGTGCGCCAACAAAATAATGCCCATAAGTCCCTGAGGAAGGTTCCAACCAAACAAGGTAGGTGGCATTTTTATTAAAATAGCTCAATCAATTTGGCGCTGTTTCATGGTTTGCCTCTTTTTTCATCATAGCAGCTAATAGGGAACCTTCATTAGAATTCTAATTATTTAAGACACAGAGTGAATTCTACTGGGATGCAAAATTCCACCAGAGCTTGCAACTTTGCTTACTTTCCATACAACCTATACAACTTCAAACAGGTCAGTGTTTCACAAAAGAAACCAGGTTCAAAATGTCCTTAAGATCTGGAACCAGCTGTTCTGACAAAGAGCAGATGTATCAAAACATACAAATATATGATGGTGTTAAATCCTGTTTACAAATGAAAATGTTTACCTATTTTGCATGTTGCACATTCAGATTGTATACATGCATTTCTTGTTTGTTGTGCAGCTTTTTTAGTCTTTAGGGGTTAATCTCTGCAGGATATCTCCAGAAAGATGTGTTTAAAAATTCAGTAATAATATCTATAAAATTGGTAATCACAAAAGACAGGGCATACTTTGTGATGGCTCCATGTTTGTGGAATGCTCTGCTAAAGAACACTCTTCTTGATGTTTTTAAATGGGCATCGCAACACTTGAATGCCCACGCTGGAAGCATACTTTCAGCGTGCTTTTAAATGAATAATGTCCAATTTTCTTTTACCGCTTTTACTATTGTTATCTTCATTATTTTATGTTGGTTTATTTAGTTGTATTTTACATGCCATAGGCTTGAAATGTTACCTTGAAGGTTTCCCCACAAAAGCCAACATCAAAAAATATTATAAGTAAATCCTGGTCATATAGAAAAGCGGTCCCCAACTTTATTAGCCCCGCGGACTGGCTGGGGAAGGCGGGGTACCCCACTGTGCACGTGCACATGCGCGAAGGAGCACGTGCGCTCTTGCACGGGTGCGCGCACTCGTCCCATGTGCAAAGGAGCAGGGGGTTGGGGAAGGCACGTGCATACTCGTGCGCATGCACTCGCATGCAGGCGCAAACGGGCTGTGTGGGGAGTGTGTGCAGGGGGTGTCTGTCTCCACAGCCTGGTCTGGCTCAGGCCACAGACCAGCACCAGGCTGTGGACCTCTAGTACAGAATGACTGAGAACAATTTTTAACAGAGCATATTGAAAAATCTTTGCACATGTTTTTATTCACCAAAATATCTATCGAAACAGGGTTTTAAGCTTTTTATGCACAATACTTTATTTAAAAATAAACTTCCACAAGTTGCCAAATAAAAATCTTACTCTCTTGTCTTCAGGGCAGAAAAAGTTTGAAGTTTTTTGTTCTCATCTGTAAGAATAAAATAAGCAAAGATTTCACTCTCTCATCATATTGGCCAGAATTCTATTGGCTATTTAGGCCAATATAAATTGTTGTTGTTTAGTTGTTGTGTCTGACTCTTGGTGACTCCATGGACCAAAGCACGCCAGGCCCTTCTATCTTCCACTGCCTCCCGGAGTTGGGTCAAATTCATGTTGGTAGCTTCAATGACACTGTCCAACCATCTCATCCTCTGTCGTCCCCTTCTCCTCTTGCCTTCACACTTTCCCCAAATCAGAGTCTTTTCCAGGGAGTCATCTCTTCTCATCAGAAGGCCAAAGTACTGGAGCCTCAGTTTCAAGATCTGTCTTTCCAGTGAGCACTCAGGGTTGATTTCCTTCAAAATGGATAGGTTTGTTCTCCTTGCAGTCCAGGGGACTCTCAAGAGTCTCCTCCAGCACCACAAATCAAAAGCATCAATTCTTCAGCGGTCCGCTTTCTTTATGGTCCAGCTCTCACTTCCTTACATCGCTACTAGAAAAACCATAGCTTTGACTATGCGGACAATATAAATAGAGTGGCATAAATCACCACAGGAAAATGCAATTAAACAAGTTGCTGTCTGGATTCTTCTTTGCACAGAGGAATACAACTCATGGCAACTCATTCACTAGCACCAATTCAGCACTGTAATTTATAGTACTATACTTTAATCTGCCATAAATAACTAATAGGATTCTGGCCAGATAACCACAGTGGTGTTTCAGTACAAAACTGCCTGGTGTTAGATCCAAACTTAAGCCTTATTAGAAGTGTGCAACACAAAGCAAAAAATGAAAAGTGTATAAGTGAAGAAGAAAAAAAAATAACAAAGCAGCTTTGACAGCTTTACAAACCCTGATGATTATTGTGCCAGACAATTCCTTACTTAAAAAACAATCTTGACTGGTGTAAATTAATTCTTTAACACTTATGACACGTCCCAGAATTTGCCCAGCAGTAGAGTGATACCAAATTAAATGCAGAATAAATTTCTCAAATGTGTCCGTGCTCTTTGCTTATTCCTTCTTTTTTTATTTTAAAGAGTGAATTCATCAGCGATTGTATCTGACTGTTTACTTTTACAAAACAGGACAAGAATGATTGACAAAACCATGTTCCCATGTGGCTTCAACATAAAATGCCAATTTTCTTCTCCAAAATAGCATCATTACTTACCCACATGTGTTCTCTCTCCCTAGGATGCTTATCAAGCAAGAACAAGTAATGTTTGTTTCAATTTTGTTTTTACCTTGGAAGACCTCATATCCCAGGCTTTAACTTCTGGGCTGAATCCACCACAAATAAAAATATTAGGATCAAGAGGGTGAAACATCAGGGTGCTGATCCGAAATTCATTCCTAATGCTAAACGTCTGGGTTCCTAAAATGGTAACAGAAGAGAAGGAAATTGAGTTATTTTTGATGGGGGCTGGGGTGGCGGAGAAAGAAGTGATTTACAGTTTCACAACCTTTATTTCCTTAATGTAACCTTCCCCTACATATATACACCCATACACCGATGATATAGATAGATAGACAGACAGACAGACTACCCATACACCGATGATATAGATAGACAGACAGACAGACAGAACATACAGAGAGAAACAACACTGTGAGTATACATCTTTCTAAATTGTACCCATGCAGAGAGAAGTCAAGCTAATCAGATGTAAACCAAAACCTTAAATGACCTTTGTCACATCAATATTTATTTTATTTACCTTATATATCTGATTAGCTTGACTTCTCTACATGAGTACAAGCCAGATGATGTACATCCATCAGAACATTGTTAGTAAAAATAACAATAATATTTTCTGCATAATTCTATGAGTCTGCCTGGTGCTCTACAAAAATGGATGCAAGGCAAGGGAAACAGCACAGGAATGGGAAGGCTGTAAATGCAACAGAGAAATTATACAGTTTTTTCCTGAAGTGCTACAGTCCAAGAAAAACTTTTTATTTGATTATACATATTAGAGCTACAATATTTTGCTGCTTGATGTGAAACACAATCTTCTCCCCACTCCTATACTCCCTCTCCCAACACACTCCCATTTATGCAAGCCAACTTGCTATTGCTATCAAAAGACAAGTGTCTTTCTATGAGCCTTTTGATAAAGTCATAAGACAACTAGCTCCGGGTACAAATTTCCAATCTGTCCTGGAAACTCTCTGGGGGAGGGAGTTGACACTAGCAAAATCACTCCTTAAATGTCTCATAAAACATGAAAAAAAATAGGTAGGTGGCCATTTATACATCAGTAAAAAGCACAACTTGCGTTATCAGATAGGCCAGTGATTCCCAACCTGGGATCCTCAGATGTTCTTGAACTGCAACTCCCAGAAATCCTTGCCAGCACAACTAGTGGTGAAGGCTTCTGGGAATTTTAGTCCAAGAACATCTGGGGTTGGGAACCACTGAAATAGAACAAAAGAAGATGCAGATTTGCAAAACTGTATACACTTGTTTACACCTTGTTATTGTTATGTACTATCAAGAGACATCCCACCTCATACGAGTTTTTAATGGTATGTGAGATATTTGAGAAATGGATTTACTAGTGTCATCTCCCAATGAGTGTCAGCTGGAGATATGAACCCAGGTCGTTTGAGTCCTACCCACCATTTTATCTATATATCTATATATGTGTTTGTGTGATGTAATAGATAATATATACATATTTAAAGCTACATCATATATCGTGTCTCTCTCTATATATATATATTCATACATAGCTTTAAATATTGTCTTTAATTATGTAAGCTGCCTTTGTATAATCATTGTTTTTAGCTTTAAATACTGTCTTTTTAAAAAATATATTTTTATTTATTTTGATAGGACAGAGGTCATGGTACAAATAGGGGGCCAGACAAGAGGGGGGGAAGGGTAAGAAAGGGTAAAATTCCAGAGAGCGAAAATTATTCTTACATCTGCTTATACAATTGTATTGAAGATGGAAATCATACGAGTGAAAAACATTATAACAATTTTCCATCATATTTATCATTATTAATCTTCCATTTTCTTGGACTTTCTCTTTCTTTTTATCTTTATGTT